TGGGCCTCTCGGAGCCGCAGTGCTCGGCCGGGCGCTGGCCGGGGGCCGCCCTGTCCGGCTCGGCCCTCCTCGGGCTGGGCTTCGGCTCCTCATCTTTCCTTTTCTTCTTGGCCCCGGACTCCTTCTGGGGGGCTCTGTGCGGTCTCAGCTCCATGGCTTCACAGAGGTAGGTCAGCAAGCCTTGCTCCCCATCCTCCCCGTTCTCGGGGGCCGGCTCCCCGTTGGTGGGCGCCTCTCCGGGAGCGAAACTGTTGAGGAGGCCCAAGCCTGTGTGCTGGGCGGACTGGGCCTCCCCTTCCTGCCAGGCCGCCGGGGTCTCCTCCTCGGCCTCCCGCGCTGGGGCGGGGGGCACGGGCGCCTGGCCCCCGCTTAGTCTCCGCTTGCGCTGGAAGCGGTCGGGGCTGAGCTTGCGCAGGGCCTCGGCCTCGGCCGCGGCCTCCGGGCCCTGCCTCCAGCTCTGCCCCATCTCCCGCATCTTGGCCGCAGCCTTGCGCTTCAGCTTGGCGAACCAACGCTGGTGGATCTTGTACTCGGTCATGGTGCCCACCTCCAAGACCCCCGAGCACGACACGATGCCCTTGGAGTTCCGGGCCGAGGCCTGGTAGATGGCTGCATCGTCTTCTTGACACCTAGAGGGGGCCGAGGGGCGAGAGCTGCTCCCTCCCCACCAGAGCCTTCCCGCCCTCCCCCAGCCATGCCCCACCCTCCTGTGCTTTAGAGGAAACTGAGGCCAGAAGAGAGGGGCGTTGGCCGAGGCCACGCGGGGCCCTCGGGAGCAGGTGTCGGCCCTGGTGGAGCGGGGGTGATGCGGTTGCTTTTTTGGGCAGCTGACCTCATGGAAAATGTTTCTGTGGGTCAGGAGCTCGTCTGCTCACACCACTCAGCCTCAGCCACTCACTCCCCCTCCCCCACGGGTGGGGGGGGCCGTGCCTCCAGAGCGCGGCCGGGCGGGGCGCGGGCGGAGCGGCCCTCACCTGAACAGCTGCAGCGTGTGGCGCTTGCCCTGGTGCGTGATCTGGTACTTGGGCAAGCCGCAGTAGCGGTCCAGCTCCTGGTCATCCTTGTACCATGTCACCTCCGGCTCGGGGTATCCTGAGAGGGAACAGGGAGCCTGCGTGAGCGCAAGGTGAGTTCTAGAACAGAGCGGGCAGCCTCCAGGCCCTGGATGGTCCGGACTGGCTGAGGAGCTGGACGGGATGGGACGGGACCACCTGCCCGGCCTGCAGAAGCCCGTAGCTCAGCTCCTCTCTAGAAACCAGAACCTGACAAAGCTGGAGCCATCTCCCCTCTGGTGGGAAGGAAAACACAGAGGAGGAAATTCCTGGCCTCCCAGTAGCAAGGGAACTGAAGCTGTTCCAGAAGTTGCTGACTAGAAGTGACCTAGCCTGTCCAAGTTCCTAAGCTGAATTGCTTGACAACATAGCTAACACATCCAACCACCCATCTGTCCACCCACCCATCTATCCATCCGTCCGTCCATCTGTCCACCCACCCATCTGTCCATCCAATACACTTGTCTACCCACCCAAGCCCTGGAGTGGGCGGGTGGAGGTTATGTACCAGCCCCTCCTCTGCTGCCCACAGGAAGTGTGGCCACCCCTCACCCCTGCCCATCAGCTGCGCTCGCTGATCTCGCGGCTCTGCCCTGGCCTCTCTCCAGCTCCTTCTCACCGCGATGGGCAGAGTGAATCTTGTGAAATGAAGTTCACCCACGCCCACTCTGCCCCCGCGTCACTCAGCCTCTGGGGTCTGCCCCATGACTGCCCTGCTTCACCCCCTCTTCCCCTGTCCCCCAGTCCTGCTGGTTCCCCTCTAACACATCCCTTCCCCACTCCTGGTAGAGGCCACACGGGCAGCCGGGCAGAGCAGGGCCTCCCTTTCCCCAGGGCCTCCCAGGGCTCCCAATTCCTTTGTTTTCTTCCCAGAGTACTTGACGTTCGACCTTGTGCAGCCGCACCTGACCCCTAGAGTCCTCTCTGTGTCCATCCACCGCTGCTGGGCTCCCGGTTCCTAAACATGCACCCCGCACTGGTGAAATAAACACAGGCCGCGTGCAGAGAAGGGAGCATGCGGAGGAAATGGGAAATGTGTGTTCCACGCCTCTGTCTCCTTCAACCCCAGCCTGCACTCCTCCACACTCCGCCCTGAGATCCTCGTCTCTCTCCTGCTAGACGCAGGCCCCATGTGGGCAGAAATGGTCTCTTGTTCACTGCTACATCTCCACCACCCTTAGACAGAGCGTGGCATGGAGCAGATGCTTAGCAAAGACCTGTTGAGTCAGGTGCTGGGGCTCAACCTGTAATCCCAGCAACTCGGGGATCACAGAGACCTAAAGGATCTTAGCTTGAAGCCAGCCTGGGCAGAAATGTTTCAAGACTCCATCTCCAATTAGCCAGCAAAATGCCAGTCTGGAGGCATGACTGAAGTGGCAGAGTGCCTGCCATAGGTAAGAAAGCCAACCAAGAGTTCAAGGCCAGCGGGGACGGTGGCGCAGTGGCAGAGTGCTCGCCTAGTGTGCATGAAGCCATGGGTTCGATTCCTCAGAACCACATACACAGAAAAACCCACAAATGGCGTTGTGGCTCAAGTGGTAGAGCGATAGACTATCAGAGAGGCCCAGGGACAGCACCCAGGCCCTGAGTTCAAGCCCCAGTGCTGACACACACAGAGCTCTGGGGAACAGGAGGAGGAGTGAGGGAGTGGGGGCAGGGCAGGGCAGCGGCGGGCGGGCGGGCAGCGCAGAGGGCACGCTGGGAAAGCGAGGGGGCAGGGAGCCGGGGCTGGGGAGCAGCCAGGGACGGCTCGGCGGCCTGGGCTGTAAGCTGAGCCCCGTGTTTCCACTGTGAGTAAAGCCTGGGTTACATCACCGCGCCCGTGCCCAGTGCCAGCACAGGTGTCCGCAGTGAGGGATGACCTCACCCGGCAGGACTTCCCCTCCAGCCCCGGGCGTCTGAGTCCAGGGGGACGAGTGGGGTGGGGCTGAGTACAGGGCACGGCCCCCAGGCTGGCGCTTCCCCTCCCCTCCCCGTGCTCCCCCCCCCGTGCTTCAAGGCTGCGGGGTGTGGGCAGCAATGGGGACACACACTGCGGGTCCCTGGAAAATGTCACTGATATAAAGCACACAGAGGTAGGACAGGGCTCATTCGCCCCCAGCTGTACACGTGGACAAAGCCCAGCACACGCACAAGGTGCATATGTGCGGGTACAAGCTGCGTGCCAGATATGTGCATGTGCAAGGTACACGCACGGGGGTGCAAGCTGGGCACGTGCACCTATGAAGCCATGCACCTACATGCTCCTGGACAGAGAGCTCACATAGCAGACAGGCAGGTAGGATGGACTTTGTGATTCCAGACAGCCAAGCCCTAAGCCAGCAGTGGGAAACTGACAGCTACCCTCTGAACGCTAGAAAATCCCCAGGGCGCGAAGAGCTGGAGCCGTGGGAGGGAGGCGCCTCAAAAGCGCTTAGAAACGTGGCTGGGAGCGGAGCAGGCACCTGCAATCCCGGCGCTCGGAAGGCTGAAACAGGGCGGTGAGTTCAAGGCTACCCTGGGCTACTTAGTGAGACCCTGTGTTATAAACCCAAACGGGCAGACGGGAGCAGCGAGGGCTCCGGGCCCGGGCCCACGCCACGGCAGCCACCGCGAGCCGCCAGAGCCGCCCGCTGGGCAGCGGGAGCAGCAGGGAGCTGACTGCAGGCCCGAGGGCCGCGTGGCCCGCTGTCTTTTCATAGCGTTGGAAGCTTGTGAAGGATGTGCGCGTACTAACCGGCTGAAATGGCATTTTGTGTGTTTTTTTTTTTTTTTTTTGGGTCCGGTCATGGG